TAGGAGTTTTATTTTATATCGGGTATTTTATATATGCATTGAAAATAATCTAATGTGATTTTCCTGTAATAAACAACTAAAGCTTGTATTTCTGTTAAAACCTTTGCATCATATTTATCTGCAATATTAAAACTAAAATGACTGAATAACCTTAAGAGTTGTACCTTATAAAAATATATGTGGAATTTTAGATTAAGCTGTTTGTTTCACATTTAAACAGGCAATTTTAGACTTAGACAGACTTTATTGTTATTTTGTATCCACACAGTGTATACAAAAAATTTCGTTCAGTACAGCTCTCAAGACATTTCCATTTTTAAAGTGAAGCAGGGATAAAATGTAAACATGGTGATCAAATGTAAGGCTTTTTTTCTATAGCAAATGCTATGATTGTCACTAGATTGTTTCTCTGATGAATATAATTTTAGTAACTGTTCATTTTTCTCTCTTTTTAAGCTGTGCGGCTGCTGTTTGAAGACCTCTAAGGATGATGCATCCCAGGGAAGACAATCAACACTCCTGGGACGACAGAAGTTAACCTTCAGCAGTGTTGATTTAGCAGAGGAGGGATGGTGACAATGTTTCTGAGCACGTCCTCCATCCATCTATATCATCAACAGAAATTCCTCTCTTGAGGGAGTGTCTTTTTTCTAAATGATGCGTTACTTTGAGGAACATCATGAAATCAAGCATTTTTCATCAGGAAAACAGACGATTAACATAAACAGAGATCTGCACTCAACATTTAAATGAAGGTACTAGCTAACGTAGTTTTTCTTTCACAGAATATTTTCACAGGTAGCTGAAAGAGAACCTGAGAGGATATCAGGTTCTAAACACCTCTAAGCAGGCTAAGAATTCAATTAACGATGAATAAATTGACATTTCTACAGTGTATTATGCTTAATAATATATAGAAATATCAAAAAGTGACTTCTTTAGACATAAAATTACTGTATAAAAGGTATTTCTCTTGATTTATTATTTATCAATTGTTTATCATCATATAATTGATGTTTCCAGTAAAAAAACTTTATTGACTTTCTGATGCAAGTGTCAGCGTGACATCAAAGTATTTTGGAGGGAAAGAAAATGTCATTAAAACCATATATGTGTCTATGATCAAAAAGTGAAACTTGAATGTTGCACAGATTTATTTCAAAACATTACATAAAACCGATATGCAAACAACTTGCAACATTGAACTGTAAGTATACTGAAAAGTCCATGTGTTGCACAGCATGTACACAATACTTGATCTTGGTGTTTTTTGTATGATTTGCTGCATCCTTGCGGCATGATAATGAGGTGGTCATCCTTTGGCTCTATTGAGGTGTTCAGGAAGTATACGTTGGTCCTCTAACTTGTTGCTAGATCTGGTATCTGTCATCTTCCTCTTGAAAATAAATTCATGAAAATAAATTCATGAAAATAAACTTTAAACTCTCTAAACTTTAGGTCGAGCCAGTCTGTTAATCAATTATATCGGTGATAATCCCAGTAACACCACTCATTAAATAAGCATTGGTACTTTTGACAGTGTGGACAGGTTGCAGGTGTTTTAAATTGAAAAACATGTCAATAATGATTTTCAGCGGAGGGAAAATCCAAAGAAACTTCGTAGTGGACCAAAACTAGAACATGAAATGGCTGCAAAAATGATCATTGCTTGAATTTTCCTTTTTTTTTTTTTCCAAAATTCCTTTTGACTCATCATATATTTCTATTTTCACGTTCTCTCAAAACTTAGACCATCATTGTTTCTTATACCTTTTTTAAATCCTTCTTTCCATTAATCCATTGGTTCTCAATCCTGGTCCTCAAGTACTGCTGCCCTACATGCGTTAGATTCCTCCTTGCTGCCACACACCCTGATGTACATAAAAGAATGGTATGTAGGCTTTTGCAGCACTTAATGGTTGCCGAGGATGCCATTTGATTAATTGAATCAGGTTTGCTACTTGAGGAGCAGGTTTGAGAACAAATGCATTAAGCTTTTAATTCACATGTTAGAATACCATACTGGTTAAAAAGCTGACTCCTTTAGCAATGTTATTTTGTGAAGGGTGACAAGTGTCAAGTGTGCCAAGAGTGCAGTACTAACCATTATTTGTCCACTGGGCTTTCAACAACTGTAGGCAAACTAATTAAACTTAAATTAATTTGTAATAGTAGTATGTAAATAGTAGCATTTGTAATAATAAATGTGTAATGAATCTATATAATAACACAGCTTCACCTTTTGAGTCAAAGTACCAAATCAAATCAACTAATTCACTCAGATTTAGTATCATGTATACAGTATAGATATTTAAAGACAAAAACATCTATATCCTTGTTTGGCTCAATAAATGGTACTTTTCATTTTCTAAATTCACTAGAAACTTGAATTTTGTGGATAATAACACGAACACAGTCAAAGTTTGTTGAACAGCAAGTTTCTTTATACCAAGTGTATTAATAAACTCAGAAGTGACTGCGCTAAACCTCTGGGGAGCAAATGGGAGACTTTTTTTTCTGACATTTGAAAACACATCACCCTACCTCAATTTTAGAATGACATATTCTATCCTTTATCATAACTCCACAGCATTAACTTTTGGGACCTCTAGGGGAAAATGTATTAACAAACCTTTTATGATGGCAGAGTCGATTAAAGGCTGTCGTCTGCGTCTGTGCAAGTGACTTTTATTAGACCCGAGTTGACAATCCCCGAGGTGGAAACGTGTGATAATGTCTCCCACGAGACGAAAAGCGTAAACCCATTTTTTACTGTAAGATTATTTAGAAGGACTGACCCGACGTGACCTCATAATGTACCAGCTAGAAACAAGAGAAAAAGAAGGCAACTTTATTTGCAGATGCTATTAAAAATCTCTCTACGCAAAGAAAAGGTTATTATCAAGAACAATGTGAGAGCAAGTTGAGAGGGAGAAAAACACATCCCCTCCTTTTCACACGCAGGAAGTCTGTGAGAATATTCATCAAGAAAAGCATTGCATAATATGGCTTACACAGCAGAATCATGTAAGTGTACATAAGATACTAAATAGATACACTATCCAATAGATCTGTATACAAAGTGGCTTCAGAACTGCAAAGCAGTACAGTCAAGCTACAGCCAACTGATCAATGATTGAAACACTCCACTTTTATCCAGCTCAATGAATTGGATATGCAAATACACTATGTCCATTAACCATTCAATCACTGTAGTGTAATGACTCGTATTATTGGCTGTGGGTGTGCACCTCCAAAGTCATTTGAATTGATTTTTTTTTCTTCCAATACTCAACAATTTACTGAGGCAAGTTTTCTGAAAGGCAAAAATGTCTCTAAAATCTGATCTATTGTCTATAGTCAACAGGGAGGTACTGAAAAAAACAACTAATTAAACTTTTGGAACCCCCCACGGGAAGAAAAAGAAGAAAATAAAGGAAAGCCCTGATCAAATAAGCAGTGGGACAGTCAAATCATTTTCATGTTATTTCGAGCTATTGCTGCTTCTGCACAGTTATATTACATTTTTTTCTTCTCTGATTTCACAATGGAGTAATGGGGTGCTTTAACAATTGCTTTTTTGAATTTTGCGTCCCATGAGAAGAATAATTAGAAAACAAAGACTTTGCCACATTGTGTCCCGGAGATGCTTTGATGAAGAAAAAAAAAAAAGAGTCGAATTTTTCCCACAGCTCTGTAAAGCAGAACAAAATGGATAGATAAATGAAAAACTGTAGAAAAAAACCCCAGACAGTCATGCATGTTAAAAGGCTATGTGCCATTAAAGCCCCTTGGGCTACAAAGAGCTCTTTTAGCAAATGGATGGCAACAGCTGCAAACTCTGGGCTGTTTTTAATGTGCAGAGTACAGATGTCTGCATTTGAGTCCCACAGTCTGAGACAGATCTGTCTAGCTCTACACTGGGGCTCTCTCGTCGCATCTCTGCAGCTTCATTAGGTACTGAACTCCATATGAACATCTGTCTGAGAGTTTTCACTCTCCATTAAAACCAAAAAAGTTACATTGATCCCCATCATATATATATATATATATATATATATATATGGCAACAAAATAATTTTTTTCTTGAAGAACAGGCAACCTTTCAACCTATATCCCAGGTATACCTACAGTATATTTGGTGGGTCTTGAGGATCCATCATCTTTTGAATAACAACTGAATGGGTTTTGCTTCACAATCCTTTCAGGGCTATGGTCATGGTTGCTGTTTCTACACTTTCCTGCACCTCTCTTTTTACTCCACTTAACTTTCAATTAAAGACGGATAGAGGATTCTGTCAACAGCCAACATCTTTCCCAAACACCTTTTGTGGCTTGCTCTCCATTTAAAAGGCTGCTTGGACCTTGAGGACACAAAAAACATTTTATATTTCTTGCTGTTATCAGTTCATTTCATTTTTTTTCCTTTTTGAAGAACTAGTATTCACTATGAAAAGATTTTATCAAACACCTGGGAGACATCTTTTTTAGACTAACACATGGTTCTAAAATGTAACCACTGAATCATTTTAGCTTAAACAGTCATCTAACAAACAGTTTTGTTCAACCAAATTTATTTACAGAACAAACAAACAATTTGGGTGTGACATTTTACAGGCACATAAGAAAATGGAATTCAGTGAAGCACCTGCATAAGACACTGATACATTACAGTTATTGAAAAAGGGCTGCAGTTACCAAAATGAATGCACATGAAAGCCGGAATGTGCTGCAAACATGGATCACATTCAGTCAGATAACACATGAATCCAATCAGTAAACTGCAACAGGCTGACTATTGAACTCATTTAATGTTCGAAAACAAATACAAGTTACTTTACGGGGTCATCACGATTTAACAATATATATTTTTTGAAATTCTTATATCTGTAACACCCTCAGAAATATACATTCACGTGGATGCATTTTTATTTTTTTTTTACTTTTTGAGATTCTTTCAGTGATACCATTTTGACAGACTGTATGCATTACCCCTTTTTTGACAGTGAAGTCACTATTGGCATGTTAAAAAGGTACTAGAGGAGCAGTTTTAGTTGAGACTTTGGGGAAAAGCTATGCACCAACATCATCTATCCATCACTGAGTCTCCATGTTTGCAGACAAATAGGGTTTATTTTACATGACAGGCTCCCTAATAAACCCAGACTATAATCTCAACCTTATGTACAAAATTTACAGTGGAATGGGAAACATATTGAATAGAAAACAGATTAGGATGGAATGAATATATTGACACTACTGCAAAATAGACAGTCAGAGAACCTTAGTAATATGAATGTTAATATCAAGCAATATACAGTTAAACCCCCCAAAACGTTTTGTCACATATCTAAGAAGCAGTTGTGGCAGTGATTTCATAACAGAAGCAGATAAAATGTCCAATAAAAAGCATATATTTGTGCTTTCAAATGGCGATGTTAGGATTAATTTAGACATGCAATCATATTTCTTTTTACGGTATCTGAGTTGCAGTTGTGCTTAAAAGTTTAGAACAACCTGTTGTTAAGCCTGCAGAATTTAGATCCTTTCAGGACTTAAAATATTCAATATTGACAGAAATGTTTAAAAAGTTGCTAAAAATTACAGCTTTAGCTTTAAATAGAATTTAGTGATCAAGTATAGATGCAGTGTGAGTAAAGTGCTGGAATTAAGACTAACTAAATTGCACTGCACATATTTGATCATTTGTGTGAAATATAGTACAAGAGATTTGAAGTCTGCGTTCTGGCACTTAAAAAATGTATGCTTCCTTATAACTTTTTCACAATTTGTAATTTTATATTTTATAGAGATTTTATTTCATAGACCAAAATAAATGCCCACTCGCTGAAAAAACTCAACTAAATTTTAACGGATGTACTGGAAAACTTAAGTAGGAAATCTGGACATTTTCAGGACCTAGATCTGAGTGAAACAGACTTAAGACCTTCAGGACTTGACAATATCTAACAGAGATCTTGCAAAACTCCTGAATATTGCAAGACTGTAGAGTGGAGAGAAATGTTAAATTAACAAATTGGGGATCGTTTGTAGGCAACTGGTTGCAATATCTTTTTATTTCTTTAGGGGTCTCATTGTTAAAGGGGTTTGAATGTTCATTTCGTCCTTCTTTCTAACATTTTCTTGTCAAAGGATGTATCCCTTTCATTCTTTTTTCCTTTTCTGCTTTACCTTTTTTGGTCTATTACACAATAACCCAATAAAGCACACTGAGGTTTGTTTCTGATGTATAAACAAAAGTATGAATACTTTATAAGAACTGCTGAACTTATTTTATTCATTTGGGGAATGAAGAGCTTAAATAAACAGGAAGTGGTTGCTGTGACTACCTACCACCCCCTTCATTTGATAGGCACTGAATAAAAGAACAAAAACAAAAAAAATCGTGCTTTGTTCTCTGAAAATGCTGTGGTTCAAACTATTTGAGACTTACAAGAAAGCGTTTCCCCTGCCTGGGCAAGAAAACAAAAGTGTTCTTATGTCCACAGTAACAGGAGAAACTGGCTACCATTGCTTAGTTTATTTTGAGCCATGTACTGTCTGTGTAAAACAGAATTAAGGCCATTGAAATAGGAATTAGAGCAGAAAAAAATGGAACAGAAGGAAACTGACCTCTAATAAGAACAAGATATTCCTCACAGTTCAATGCTTGTTTATGTATATCATACAATATAGATTGAGACTTATGAATAACATGCTCATCTAAAAGCATACATTAGACAAGCATGGACTTTTAAACATCCAGATCTGCAAGAACTTGTCAAACAAGATGTTTTTTGTCTTCTTTATCATTGTAACATATATTCATATAGTTATTTTTGTATGAACTGCAATGTTATTGTTGGGTACAAGCGTACCAATGAACTCGTAGCTCTGCCAATACCGACAACATTAAAAATCGAAGGATATTGTTGCCTTTTTAAGCTGCAAATGAGGACAAAAACACACTGGCATTGACTAAAACAAAAACCCAACAAATGCACATCCACTCCCACACACAAAACATGCATAAAATAAGGCTTAATACAGTATTTATAGTGCTCAGAGCCAGTCAGATATGTTTACATCCACAAAATTACTGCAATGCTTCTCTTATCTCTGATTTTTCACATTGAGGTTGTTTTTCATTCTTGTTTGAAGCAAATACATTTTGATGATTGTGTAATGGACATCAGAGCTGAGGAGAAATAAAATAGTATTTCTGCTCTACTAGAATCCACTGGCAGTTGCTAACATCAATTTTAAAAACAGATAACATATATATATTGTAGAATGCTTGGAAACAGAGTCAATGCATCCCCATATGCAGAAAAGATCCTGACAACAGGGAAAGAAATCAGAAATAAAACAACTCCTCACTGTAATATCACCCCAAAATAGCTGAAATTCAATACGAAATAACATAAAAGCAGTAGTTAGGGTCCCATACTGCTTTCTTACTTTGTAGCACGTCCATGATAATATTTTCAGACCCCTTTAGTTTTTAAAATATTTTCTCTATTCATGTAAATAAAAGCATTAGTTGATGACTGCCCGCTTATTCAAGTCCTTGAGTCCATGGATAACTCCTGGTGGAACATGAGGTTGATGTAAGCGAGTTCCTCAGATAAACAGTAACAACTGGAAAGGCAAACTCCTCAGACACTTTTTGCTGACATCCATTGAAAAGAAGAGGTCAGAACCAAACATAATTATGACAGCTCAACTGGCACATAGAAAAGTAACATAAAAACACCAGGGCATTTCAAAAAGTGGTAAGATTTTTTAACAAATACACAAGTCAAAGTGTTCAAAGTCAAGCAACAGACCACTAGATTTCCAAACATTATCAGTGATCCTGTGAGACTGAGTGAATGTCTTTTGGACATTATTCTTTGCAAAAGCATTCATTGCCTTTGAACTATTTCACATATTGTCTCATAAAAACCACAAAATTCAATGTACTTTGTTGAAATAATGATACAGGGTAAAACCAACTTAGAGAGGGGCAGCATTGTAAAGTAAAAGTAAAATGTTACAAATCATAAGAAAAAAACTTAAATAGTTGACCCTCTGAGTTACTTAGGTCTTACAAATAGAATTTGTTTGTTTTTCTGTTTTCTTAAATGTCTATAGTTTAGACATTTGAATCTCTCAGCCTACTTCATGATTTAAGGAAGATACACTTTGAGATATCAGTGAAGATTCTCAGTTATCCAGGTCATGGTCAAGCTTGAAAAGTTCAGTCTAGGCAACTGGATGTTTAGTTTTTTAGAAAACATTTCACCCCTAATCCAAGAGGCTTGGTAGTGTTGGGGAGCACTGAGATTAATATACTGTAGGACAAAAGGTCGCTCACCTCAATGGTGGAAATTTGAGGTGAGCCAATTAAGGAGTTATCAGACCTGCATGTGTCTCATGCACTTGACCTTAACGTTTTGCAGATGTGGTTCAATGAAGACTATTTAAGGTATGTCTACTACTTTTAAAAATCTAGAGAGAGATTTATGCCTTTTTTGTTGCAAAAGTTTTTAAATAGTAATAAAATGTATGATTATATTTAGGACCTGGCAGATTTGACATGATTATGCTTTGATGCAAAGAGTTCCACTTTACCGTTGGGTATATATTTATGGTTGAGCAGTAGATCTCTGATCAACTCTTGAGTTACCATGAGACCGTTACCTTTTTACTTTGGATGAATACGGTCTTTATAAACCGGTTTGCCTTAGATTTTACTTTAGGGTAAAATAGAAAAATGTTTTAATATCTATCACAGTTTTAAAATTTCTACTTGCACAAATGTTTGAAAATATTGTTCAACTTTCCCTTTACAATTATGCATTATTCTATCTTGGTATATTACACAATATAATAATTAAATACATTGAGGTTTGTGTTTGTAATGTGACAATATGTGAAAAAAGTTTAAGCAGCACTATTACCTTTGCAGGACATTGGAATTACAACAAGTGAAAAGCCACCTGCAAACTCTTCCAACAATAACACAGTTCATTGATAAGGGCACTCATTTTACATGAATTAATCTTAGCAATAATATTAAATCTTTCTTTGTCACTATGTTGCCAAAAAAGGTTTGTATGGCTCAGCAGACCGTTGACGAACCTTTACTACAAAAATAAAATAAAGTGAATATATTTGAAGATGGGACTTGAAAAGAATTGACGTCTTTGAAGAACAACAATAACGTGCTAAAGTTATAAATCATACAGTCTGTACAGCTAGATAATTTTTTTTTTTTATCTTGTTTTCTGAAACAGTTGACCAAAAACTTTCAAAACTTTGAACTCCACCTGTAAATATATCAGACACATAACTCTCGTTTCTCGGCAGATCATACAAAAAGAGAATATAAAAATAACAAAATTGCAATTGCTAATGAAAAAGGAGAAAAAACAACAACAAATGAAAAACATACATCCAGTGTAGGACTTTCACAAATGTGCTCAGCAAAACCTCAACCTGTTTTTGTTTTTTTATACATTTAATACATTTATAACATGAAAAATAAAATACACATAAAAGTAGAATACAACAGTATTAACCAATCACCTTTCTGGCCTTTTAGCCACACTGAGTCTATTTACATACCTTAGTTTGTATTCTTTGCCCATTACGGTGATGAAAGCGATACCAATGCTGTCATGTTGAGAAGTTGTTCTTGGAATTTAAATAGACTCTTGGATATTCTAACAGTGATAAGTTGGATGGAGTCTGATGTGGGATAAGTGGGGAAGTGAGGTGGGAATGCCATTGCAGGAGGTGAAGGTGGACCAATGAGGGGGTGGGGTGGGGGGGGTGAAGGTAGGGGGTAACAGATGAGGTGGAATGCAGGTCAGGGACAATAGGTTGATCAGCCATGCCACTACACGTACCACTCTTTCTTAGAAATGACAGAACCGTCGGTTTGAGAGACCATATCGTCAGCTATTTCAGATTCTGGGTCATACTGGAAGGCCAGAGTCCGCTCCTCATAATCCCGGCTCTCCCCCTCATCTACAGTGAAGTATGGTCTCTTCAGGTCCTCAGATTCGGCATCGAAATTCCGATCGCCGATTGCCTCGAAACCCCCGGTGCTACCAATCTGGCCGGGTTTCTTCTCATCATCCGAGTCTTCAGGGAACTGGAGGTTCTTGGTGATGGGGGGGTGTGCAGGCAGGCCGCCCGCCTTGCTGTACCCGTTTCCAAATACATGCTTCTTGGTGCTGTAGTCTCCCTTGAAGGTGCGCTGCCGGCGGCGCAGGAAGATGAAGAGGAGTATTGCCGCGATGACCACTAGGATCACTCCCCCCACAGCACCCCCGATGATGGCACCTGTATTGTGCTGCTCCGGTGAGACGCCTTCGCCCTGGTAAGGTGGGTTGATAGGGAGGTCTGGGTAGGAAAAGACAGATGGAAGGGAGTGTGTCAGTGCTCTGGTGGGAGGAGGTGCATTTGTGCAGGTGCATTTTTTTTTAAACAAAAAAAGGAAAGATGATGTAAGGGAAACAAGGACGGAAAAGCATAAGGGATAGAAAGGACCCCACCGCACGCCCATACCCAACTCCACCCAATCCCACAGGAGCATCAATGATTTTGAGAGCAGTAACATGCAGTTTCAGAAGCAGACAGAATCACATTTAACATCAGCTGGGCAAAGAAAGTGAGTTAAAAGTTCCTTGGCATGCATCAACCAAAATTTCTTGTTTGCATTATGCAGGAAGATGAGAAGATTTGCAGCAGGACATGTACAGTGCTGTGAAGAACATATAAAAATAACAAACATTTTGACTTTTTTTCTAGCTATATGAGTAAATGCAACAAAAAAAAGAAAAAATAATTTTAAATAGTGGTTCAATACAACATATAATGAGATCCTTTACAGTTAATATTGACCTATGTTAAATGGCTCCTTCATGACTTAAAAACTAGTTTTTATACTTTTTGAGCAAACAAATGTCATCATGTGGAAATTATATTTTAATATTACCATGGAGGTCAGCTGTTCTTTATAGAACTGATTGAATTCAGCCACATTGCGCTTTTTTTAAAGTATGAACTGACTTTTTAATGTTGCAAAACCGCATCTCCATTGCACTGAACCTAGACTTTAACTGGTAAAAAACATTAAAAGACTTTTCTTTTAGCCTTTTGGTGGACTTTCTGGTTTGCTTTGCATCATTTTTTTTGGAAAAACCCAAGTATACAAACTAATAAACCGAGCGTCGGACATTTCATCTTTCAAATTTCTTTGTAGTGAGCAAAATTCTTGTTTTTGTTTATTATGGGAAATCATCCAGGTCATAAATAAGCAATGTAATCCAAGACTATTACACCACCATCACCATCTGATTGGTAATATGATCTTCTCAGGGTTATTTTGGTTCTCTTGGGATGTCTCACTGTGGTTATGTTTTTGCTCTAGTTGTGAACGATGGCTCTCACTATGGTTTGCTAGAGCTCCTAAGCCTTAGAAATGTCTTAGTAACCCTTTCTAGGTGTACTTATAATAAGGCTTTTATTTGTCATCTGTTGCTAAAATGATCTGAAAACAATGTTTAGCTTTTGTGAATTTTTTTACCGAACTTCATGTCGAACAGGTTCTAAGTATTTAGAGATTTTAGTGATGTGGCAGTGATCCCGCCTAAATACTGCTAGTGAAATAAAACCAAATTGGGGGACTCTTTATTCTTAATAAATTAAATAATTACATTTAGGGCTTGTAGATCTACTCAGTTTATCTTTGCAGATGTTAAAAGTTGCATCATAACCTATAACATTTACAACAACTGTGATTAAAGGTATATTCAAAGGCGCAAAATACTATTATACGGTGCTAAAATGTATCTTTTAGATTATTAAATTAATATTAAAATAAACATTCTGAATGGCAGACTATGGAGGAGTCTGGTTTAAAGTAACACAACAAGACATCTTCATCAGCTGAGCGGAGGTAATGAAATGAGAGTGCCGCCTGGGATGATTATCAGCAGCCAAGCATACACGGACACAAAGCACCGAGAGAGCAGATAAACACGAAGCTCCTTCATTGAAGCAGTAGAGCGACACGCCAAGGAAACAGCATCAGTTCCAAAGAGAAATGTGTGCATTTGTTATAGAAAGGGCAGCAGAGAAAGAAGATAAATATAGAGAAGATATGCATTAATATAGAAATAAGTGAATAGGACTATTAACTTTCTGCTGACTATATATCACATAGCATTCATCTCTGGATATAAAGTGAGACATCAAAACCAGTCCAACACTGATTGGTTTTCTTCCTACTGTAAAATGTTATAAAAACCCTGAGCAGCATTTATTACTGAACTGATATGTTGACAGAGTAAAAGCACCTTTTGGCAATAACACAACAAGACTTTTATCTGAAATGTAAAGAAATCTTTCATGTGGCCTTGGTAGCGCTGGGGTAAATGGGCAAACTTCAGGTTTGTTTTAATTTTACTTGAGAATGTTGTAGGAGACCAGGGAAAAAACAGCACTTGCTATTCAATGATATCAGTGGGGAATCAAAAAAAAAGAGGAGAAAAGGAAGCTTTGTGTTCAAGAAGACTTATGGCTTTTGATATAATTACTGTTTTGGCTTATGCTTTGAAATCTGCTTTATTGCCACTGTATGAAGAGACGAAGAGTGTAATTGGGATAAGATCTAAACACAATCCATATGTTCATCTGGATCTGATAAACACATGCACTGATATTCAGAAAGCTATTATCAAACAACATGATAATGCCTCGGCGCAGCCTGTTTACTTTGGGAATCAGTTTTGTCTTCAAGTGGGGTCAAAGGAAAGGAAGCTTATTTGAACTTCAGACACAAAAAAAGACAAAATAGCAGCTGTCGTGCAGAAGATAAGAGAAAGACAAATTATCAGAGCCATGGAACCTTTCCAGTCTTTTCAAATCAAGCAAAAACACAATGAATTTAGACTACAACTTATGTGAAAGGACAGCAAAAAGTAATAAATCATGTGAAGTAAATAGAATATTTGGGTTTATACTTTTTACACAGCAGAAGTCTGTATAACCAACTGCCTGTCAAAACTTTCAGAGCAGTTACAGCCTTATAAGTCTTGCAACAGATTTATCATTCAATTTAGTTATGGACGTGTGGCCCATTCTAACATTAGATGGTCCACCATCTAATAAATAATGGATCTAATCTTTATTTTGATTTTAATTAATTGCATTTGCAATATAAATGCAATTTAACAAAGCGCATTTATCAAATTGCAGAAGCAATCAATTTTGATCGCAATACAGTTAAGAAGCATAAAACCCTGAGTTTCAAACTTCAGCTCTTTACAAGGCAGTACCACGTTTAAAATGGGTTTGATGCCACACAGAAGGAAAGTAACAGCTGGCATGCAGATCCATGAATACTAGTGCAAAAGCAAGCAATTCACCACAAAAGAGTAACAGTTGAGTCCTGTTATCATGGGCTCTGGAAAGGCAAGCTTTCAAGGTTATCCAAACAATAAACTCTGAAGTGAAAAATCTTGTGGTTAGTACAAAGGAAGGAAGAGTTTGAAAAAAAAAAATTACACTTGTGATTTTGTTGTATAGCCCTAACTGGTTTTCCTTCCTTATCTGCCTGTAATCAGATCCTTTTATGTTTCTATTAATTCTAACCTGCTTTCCTGTTCATGTTGAAAGACATGCATTCCCACAGCATGATGCTAACAATACCATGTTTCATGGTGGGGGATAGTGTTTTAAAGGTGTTATTGTATACAGGTCTTTCAAAACATGCAAGCATTTGCAGTGAATACGATTTTGGTTTAACTTGACCAGAAAACCTCCCTCAAAATATTTGCATCAGGTGCTCTTCTGACTTTCCTGTAAACAAAGCATCTCCTTCCTCCATTTGAAAGGTATGCACTGCGTTATGAGTTATATTTCAAAGCCACGGAAGTTTTGAAGAACAAACCTTCTTTATATTGTTGTTAAATATTGAAATAAAAATATCAGCTTGGATTTGATCAAATTTTCCCGGAATATTTTTTAACGCCACTTTTATGGTTTTAGTCAACTAAATTTTAAAGTAACTGAAGCCTCTGTGATTGCAAAATTGCTCTTTTTGCTACCGCAAAGCCGAATGCAATGTCATGGTAATCTAGTTTATCTAATGAAATCCAAGTAAAATTGAATGAGGTTTTTGCACGTGGGGCCCTACTGCACAGCTCAGACAGGTCAAACAGAACGTCACAAGAACACATTTGATCTAAAATGATATACATTTCAAACTAAAAAAGAATATCTCTTCAAATGATTAACCCGAAGCTTTAAATCAAATCAGCTATGCTTCATAAGAACTTCTCTTTATTAAAAGCGATTAATCTTAGCATAATAAAGCTCTAAATGGATGGTACTGGGTGAAGTTAAGGAGCTACTGAAGCCTTCTTCTTTGCTGTAATTAGAATGGCACTCTATCTGTCCAAATGGAGAAACCTCCCAATTGCCACCAACGCTCCTTCACTGCTGCCTTTCTCCCGGGGCCCCGACTGCAAAGCTCTCCAATTTCTAAAGCGGTGCCGGGAATGGTCTCAAATATCAGCTCAGGTTTTAATCTGACCACCTAATGGGATTATTCAGACACAGGCCTTCATTACACACATCAATGACAGAGCACAGCCAGGTCACCCCTGTTAGAGAACACATCCTTCCACCAAGCCAAAAAAAGGATGAAAATCCAGATAATTGAAAGGGTGAAGAGTAAAGGGATAACATTTGACTGCAATCCTCTGGACTGGCCCTCAATCACCTCCTCAGCAACGATCTGCTGTTTGAATCCTAATTTCAGTCTTAATTAGGTCAATTTTCATCCAGATTGCTAAAATGAGACATATACTCTCATTAGAAAAGGTAAAGCCATCCTGTTAACTTACAGAAGAGAGCCGGTGATGGAACAAGCCTTCTGAGGTGCTACCTGTTATCTCCATTCCTATGATAAAGGATCACTCCAAAATGACTCAACCGGATAAAATACCATAGACTGAGAATGAGAGCGTTGAAACATGATTTTTACAGTTATTTTTTGTATTTAAATCACAATAATAAAGTAATAACTTTGACTATAGGTATACAATCTGTATGGCACATTAAAATATTGAACTTACAGAGAGCTTGAACACAGGAAGAAAAAAAAAGTCAGAGAAGAAAGCACTGGGAGGGGGTACAAAAAAGAAATAGGAAAGAAGGAAGGAGAGAAGACAGAAAGATGACAGAAGAAATATAGAAACGAAAAAAAGCATTAAAAAACAAGGAGGAAAGAAAAAGAACTAGGGACTCAAGGAGGGGAGCACAAAGGAAAGGAAAGGAGCATAAAAAAGCTGCCTCTTTTCAGAATGTTAATATCCAACTCCTTCCCTGCTATT